TAATAATTATAGTTTAAGTAGAACAGATAAGCATATTGATAATAAATCAAATATCATAGATAAAGATATCAATAAAAATTTAAATGTTGTAGAATATGATAATGTAAATCTAGAATCTTTACCTATAGTACTGAGAAAAACTTGTTAAAAAATATTATTAAATAATAAATAAAATTAGAGTGATATTAGCTGATTTAGGACTGTAACTGGGTGGGTAGGTGGGTGGGCGAATTCTTAACCCATGCTTGTGTGTCACCCAACCAAATTTAGTTTTGCTTCTAAAATTGAATACTGACAATATAACTTGCTTTTATTATTATAATAGTGATTTTGTTAATAATTTCATCTCACTACACATAATAGTTTTATTAATTTCATCAGTATAAAAACAATAATTTTATATATTGAAATAACATTTCTTATAAAAAAATAATTGAAAATTTAGCATATCCAAAGATTATCATGGAGAAGTTTAATAAAAGAATCGATTAAATTGATTTGGTAAAGCTTTCTTAATCACCAAGGTTTCGTCAATCATCAGAGTTTCATCAATTGTCAGGTTTCATCAAATGTTGGGGGTTTTATCAATCACCAAGAGTTTCATCAGACTAAACTACAATGAAACCTTTTCGTCATCACAAAAATAATTTTGCCAGGCATTATTACTAACCACAATATGAAGTTCTTGTACTGTATAATACAATATCAGATATAGTACACTCATCTCTAACTCCCTTTAAACAACTCAAGCGCATAGTTACAAGAACAGGTTTTTTGGAATTGTTAATTTTGGTGATTTTACCATGCATATGTATAATCCGGGTTTAAATAAAAATTATTTAATTTCTATAATGGATTGAACTTTAAATTAGAGTGGCTTTTTATGTTAGCATAAATTTGGCTTAGATATATTCAGAATTACAATATTAATTTAAAAACTGGTTATATATAAAAAATTCATTTAATATCAATATTGTATAATTCAAAAGAGATCAATTGTCATGAGCTATATGAATTTTCAATCTTTTTTGGAGCATCACACAATATCTATCAGAAAAGTTGTATTATAATGTCCAGTTGATCACAAATAGTTACTTTGAATGTGGATGATTATTTCTTGTAATGCTGTATTTAGAAGCTTAAAATCTGGTATTAATTTTTATTTTCTTAAGTCTCATAATAATTTACATAATTATACAGTTGTTGCTATAATTAGTGCAGCTTTCGCCATGATCTATAAGTTACTCTTGGTTTTCATGAATTAAATGCAGATTCACACAATTTTAGCTAGCATACTACCTAACAAGTTCTTAATATAGAATTAATACAAGAACAAAAAAGTAGAAATAAAAGAAAAAAAAATACAAAATAAAGCACAAATTAAGGAATCTGATATATTATATGCATAATGTTATAGATAATTTCTTCAAATTTTAAAAATATCATCTTCATTACTATTAACTGTGCATTCAGCCCTAATACTTTTAACAGAAACAATTGATTCTAAATGGTTAAGTAATTTTTGTCTTGAAGATTTTTGGAAGCTTCTCACTTTACTCTCATAGCAAATTGGTGGATTATCTACATGAATAATTTTATAATTCCTAATAAATTCAGCTATATTTTGGTTCCTACGATCTCTGAGCAGTTTTTTTATGTCTTGATCATATACATCGATATTATCAAATTTTGGGAAATTTGTACATACTAAAATAATTTAAAGTTGATCCAAATAGCCCAAAAATTCTATTAATTTTTTCTAAAGCTTCCACCTGATGATCTTCAAAATGGTCTTTATAAACAAAAAATATTTGTTTGATTTTGTTCTCTTCTATTGTTTGACAAAGATTCTGAAAGAGTGCTATTTTTTCATTATCTGATAATCCAGAGGTATTACCTATTCCAACTGTATCGATTAAATAATATTTACTTCTTTTCCATTTAAAGTCTACACCTTGTATTTCTTTAGTTCCACTTGAGCTTCCATCTACTACAGCAAATTTCTCTTTATCTAATAGAACATTCGCTAAAGCTGATTTACTACTGCCTTTTCTTCCTACAAGAATAATGCTTTGAATATTTTTGACCTTTTCTTTATTATAAACATGAACTTCAAAGGGTGTGCGTATATGCTCAATAATAAGCCTAGCAATAGAAGCAAGACTAATAACTCCTGAATATAACAAAAAAATTACATATATTATAGGTTCTACTTTGACTACGAATAATATTGTAGAATTAATGCAACATTTATGTATAAACAAAAAGAGAAATACATATGTACATATGTATATGCGTATTTATTGAATCTAAAAAGTATTTATATAGTATTGATTGGCAGCACATATGAGTTTAAAATTAGTAGTTATTATGTATCGCATAGTTTACGAAGAACCCTTGCACTTAGTAAAGGGAATGCAGCTTGAAAAGAAATATATAATGAGTCAAAAGATGTAAAGATGAAATGGATATATGAATTAAATAACTCACGTGATCATGTGATTGTTCGTAGAAGTCATAGTGTTGGGCGGCATTAGTAGAATCAGGTACAATAGGTACCGTGATTACTGATTTTGTAACAATGATGAAATTCAGAGAAGTTAAAAGTTTGTTAAATTAATAACAAAGAAGTAGTTAAAGTGTAACACAAAGTATATAATAGAGCATATTGTATAAATAGCAAATATAAATAAAGAGAACTAGGTAGTCTCTTGACTAGAAAAAAAGTAAATGTCTAATTAAAAACAAGGCTTACATGAAAGTCAGTGTGTTTTGAGTGGAAAGGTGTGTGCATCTTGTGCCAAGTAAAACTAGAAGTAGCAATAAAGCCATCTGGGCAAGATAACAGTTGCTATAGCGATTGTCTAACTGTGTGATAAAGAAGGATCTGGGTAAGTAAAGTACCCTTGTAATGACAACGATGCAAGGCTTCAATGAAATAGTCTAGAAACTCAAGTAGTAACACAAATAGAAATAATGAGATAAAAAAAAAGAAAAAAAAAAAAACTAATATAAAGTACAATAACAAAGGTTCAAGAGAAACAAATTTGGATTGTGAACACTTAACGAAACAAACAAAGTTGATAAAAGATGATCTTATTTAAGTAAACAAAACATCAAATGAATGCTTTGTGAAAATGATCAACCATGATAACTCAAGACTTTAATAAACTGTTTTATCATGATAATGAAAATGAGGACATTGAGGACTTTCTCTTCGACTTCATAATATATACAAAGTTGAAGCAATGGGATGATGATAGGAAGAAAAAGGTGATTGGTCTCTATGGTGCTGATAAAGTGAGAGTGTGGGTATGTGAATTAATGAAGAGTGCAAACAGTTGGGGGATCTAAAAACAAAGATAGAAAAAGCTACTAAAATAAAATTCTATGTAGAAAAAAAGGTTGCAAGGTTAATAAAAATAAAGCAAGGAGATAATGAATCTGTGGTTGGGTATTCCAACAGATTTGAATTACTTGCTCATATAATAAAAGATGAAGTGCATGATAGAAAGAAGCAAAAATAGTTTTTCACTGGGTTGAAAAGAGAGTATCAATCAAAGGTGGAAGGACATTTTCTAGCTGATTACAATAAGGCAATAAGTTTAGCTATGAAAATTAAAAGGTATAATAAGGACAATAAATTTGACAAGCATAGAGTGAATAAGACGTTAATAGAAGAAATGAATGAAAATATTAAAACTGACACTGAGGAAATGATGAGGGTGATAAAAACTCTAAAGATATCACAAGTTGAGAAGAAACTTGATAATGACATCCAAGAAATAAAAGATGCAATTAAAGAAATAGTTAGAGCAATGAAGGATCTAACCAAGAGAGATAACTCACAATTGAGAAAC